ACCCTAATACAGAAAAAAGATGACATCATTCAAAACTTGGAACTGCAACTTGAAGAGCAGGTTAGGAAAAATTTGATCATCAAAGAGTTCTAAATATGTGCATTCATTTACGCATAATAGCAAAGATTAAAAAGAGAGAGCCTAAATTTAGATCAGAAATCTTACTTATTTGGTTAACCCATAGAATTTCATCACATCTGTTGGTGAAAGGTGCAAGTTAAAGTGACATCCACTTCAAGTCCGGGGTGATTCCAAGGAAGCATCTACTGCTTTTTGGATGTGACAGTACTCCTTAAGTTGAAAATGCTTGGTTATCAGTGGGCATTTATGTCTGTAAAATGTTTGAAACAAATATTTGCTTTAGATTATTAGAGTGTTGGAAATGTTTATAGAACATTAAAATTTAAATATATGTTTGACACTAATCCTTCTTAGAAGTGCGTACACTATTGACATCAAGTATAGTATTTAGTTTATTTTTAAAAATGTTTTTAGGAAAATTTTCATTAGGGTTATTTACTTAGAAGATCATTTAGCATCACTAAGTATAACCACTATAAAGTTGTTAAATGTTTAATCATTTGTTTTCAGTATTTTTAAAATTTCTCTGAGGGGATCAGCATTCCTTTAGATCAGTGGTTTTCAGCCTCAGCCCACCCACTGAGATTTATATGATAGTCATATTCCCAGTGGTTTTGTGACCATGACCAGAATTAAAAATTGGTAGATGTGAGCTAGAGTTTCTCAGTCTTTATTTTTTCTCGATCTTTTAAAACTAGCACTCCAGGGGAAAAATAAGCCATACCCCAGAGGAGATTCTCATTCTCCCCTCCCTGCTCTGGTTGACTGCTGTTCCACTGTCCTCAACCCCAGACCATTTCCAGAAATGGTTTATTTTTGTTGATTAAATTCTCTGGAATTGATTTCAGTATATGATCTTTCAGAGAAAGAGACTAGCAGATGTTAAAACTAGAAATATTTGTGTATGCCTTTATTACTGTATCTGCTGACAATCATTCTCATTTTTTCCTGTTTGGTAATGTGAAGGTAGATGTTTTAACTTGGAAAGAGTTTGTAGTGAACTTGCCTTTTATATCTATGATGTAACATTTCCAGACCAGTGAGCTTATGTTTCAACTAAACAAACTGCTAATGTTATTTCAGAAACACATAAGGATTCAAGAAGCTAAAGTAATAGAAGAGAAAGCAGCTAAGATCAAAGAATGGGTAACAGTTAAGTTGAATGAGGTATTTATTGCCATATCTGTCTTTTCTTTACCTTTTGGTTCTTTTGAATAGAAAAGTCATCAGAAAATCTGAATGAAACAAAATTCTGATCAGTTGGTGGTGCTGCTGGCTTTTGGTAAATGTGAGATAGGTAGCTATCATTTTAATGTATTTCTAAAATTAAAAACATTGATAGACTTGTGGTAATCAGTATTAAGTACCCTCATTCTGATTAGTTGACTTTAGTTCTCATTAGTTAATATTAAATAGAGAATATATGTGTATATCTCATAAAATTAATGTATTCAGTATCTGAGAAATACACATTATTTAGTTTATATGGCAGATTAAATGCTGGAATAACTTGGTATTTTACTGTGGAAAAAAGCATAGGAATGAAAAACAATGAAAACTTTTAGTTCTTAAAAAGAAATATATTAAAGCTGCAGTAATCTAGGTTGGTAATCTGTGCTGATAAATTCATCTGATGTTTACTTATTTCTTTTGTATTTTGCTCATGTGTAATTAGATATTAACATTTTCTAATTATTATAATTTACTAGTATATTTTAGAAAAATTATCCCTGTTTAGAAGAAAACCATTATGTTCTTTTAGCTGGAATTGGAGAATCAGAATCTGCGTTTGATCAACCAAAACCAAACTGAAGAAATAAGAACAATACAGTCAAAACTGCAAGGTACGAGCACTTTGACTAAGACAACCTAATTGGATTCACTTGCCTGTTACTACTGAGCACTTGGAGTATGACTACCACAACTAAGGAACTGAATTTTACATTTTATGTAATTTGAATTGACTTAAATTTAAATAGCCATACATCCATATCAGCATAGCTAGACAGCAGTGAATAACTCAAAGGAAGTAATACTAATTTGCACATTTAATCGGAAGTATGTTTACTTTTAAAAAATCAATCTTGCTGTTTTCCATTTTCACTCTGTAGCATTGTGATCAACAAGGACTGAAATTTTTGCAACCTAAATATTTTGAGCAGAATTTTATAATGCGAATTAACCTTTTGCATTTTTCCAATGCTTAGGGTTACTTTCTTTCTTTTCAACTTTAAAGCCTAAGGATAGGTGGTAAAGTTAAAGATAGAGATTTACTTATTATGCTACTCCTTATGCTCAAGTGCTCACTGAGCTGAGGAGGAGGTGAATCAGCAGGGTGTATGGATAGCCCATGCATATTAGACCCATGGCCCAGTATAGTGCTTTTCAAACTTTTATTTAGGAGCAGAACCCTTTTGAAAACGTTTTTCCCCCCTGTAGAATCTCAAGAGATAAAAGAGGTAAAAGCATTATTGGGTGATGGGTCCAGAGTTCTGCAGACTCAGTCTCACCTATGCCTCTTCTTGCATTTCTTGTATCCTCTGTGACGTTTCCACAAAGCCCTGGGGTTTCCTAGAATGCTAGACTCTACTCAGTTATCAGTTCTATTTAACTTAACCCTTTGCTGCTGTAATTTCTTTGGAAACTTTTCTTACTGTCACTGGAATCTCCAACCTTTTGATCTTAGAAGCAGCAATGCTACAAGTCCCAGAAGATGACTTAAACCCATGCTTAGGTGCGTGAGTAATCACTACCCTAGCTGTCTAAATTCTCTATCTAACAACTGTCCCCCTCCTTTTTTTTCTCTAAGGATGTGATTAAGGCTCTTCATGTTGTGGTCACCATAGACCAAGCCCCTTCATCTGGTTTCTTATGAGAAGCATACTGAAAACTAAGCTAAGCAAAAAAGTTATTCCAGTGATCATGTGATATTTGCCCCAGTGATCATCTAAATTTTCCTGGGTTGTCTTGGCAACCAGGACCTCAGCCCCTTTTTTCTCACTGATGGTAGCATTTCCAAGCAATTATTTTTTACCAATACTTGAGTGGTATTTACCAATACTTGACTTTGCAAGAAGCTGTAACTCTCTAGTTGTTTATAAGCTGGTTTTGGTTTTTTTTGGCTTGTTTGTTTGTTTTTTGTTTGTTTGTTTGAGCATTAACTATTTGTAAGGGGATTAGATATATTTCTCTTTGCAGTTAAAAATATTTTGCACATTCAAAATAAATAAACTGATTTTAAATATTGGTGTGTGATACTAGACACTGAGGGTTCCATGTTACTATACATAAATAAAGATGAACTTCAAGCTTTTTTCCTAGTATAAGGAGTGATTTGTCCAAGTTTTTATATGCTTTGGTTCCCTGTTTAA